CTTCAGTCTCCTCCCAGTTCTTGTCTCTGTCTGCATCTGGTCTTACCTGCTCTTATTGCACTGGAATTGCATCAGATCAGACCATGTCTGCACAAAGAACTAGACCTATTCTTGAGATGTACCAGACTAAACAAACATTTGTGTTCCTTAGGATACCAGGGCCATAAATTCACTAGTAGAGATAAAATATCAGAAGTTTTCTAAAGACCTGGTGACTGAATACAATCCAAAATGTATTATCTGCCAAGGATGTAAAAGCGGGAAATAGAAATTAAGTAAGATCCATTCACAGGCTAAGGATTATTTTTCTTGCCTTTGCAATGTTAACTGTGTAATCATTCCAGTGAAGGAAAACACTAATTATATAGTTTCCTTTGTTAGACAAGTTAGGGATCATGGGATACTTCCACTGGTCTGCTCCCAACTTGTAAGTTGCTGCCAATTACATATTTGTATTACATTCCATTGTATCATAATATGCAGCTAGGAAACTGTTTTACTACTCAAAACACCAATAATCTATGGAATAAGTAGCTTGTTTGCTCTGGTTTCTTACACAGTCAAATAAATTTGTAATGCAAAGAAGTATACAAGAACACAAGGAAACAATGGAAAACCGTACTACAATCCTTAATGAAATAGTTATTTTAAATTAGTTAATAAAGGAGGCAGTCAAGACTTCAAGTTTATTTCACTACAGAATAATGTTGTTTTAGATGGCTTTACCACAAGGACTTAACAGAAATATTGTCTTAGTGATGGTATGGCACCACCTACTGGATGAGATGTGACTGATGATTAAAGCATTTTTGTACCTCCTCCTGAGCTTAAAAATAAAATTTACAAACCCCCTTAATAATTAGGTGTACTCAGGTACCTATGGAGATCCAACTGGTCCAATCTCATTCACATTCAATGGTAGCAAGGGGCTTCCATGGAAATTCTCTGTCTTGAGGCCTGTATGCATGGGTGGTTTACTCCACTGTAAACTGGGAGGCACTGACATAGGAAGGATTGTTCACACAACACATATAATATATATGTGATGTAATGGGCAAGTTACTGTGGTATTTTTTTTTTTTTTTTTTTTTTTTT